TATACGTTAATAATAAGAGATGATGCATTATAATGATTGTTATATAGGTTAAAAACAAGAGATGATGCATTATAATGATTGTTATATAGGTTAAAAACAAGAGATGATGCATTATAATGATTGTTATACAGGCTAGTGACAACAGATGATACATTATAATGGTTGTTATATAGGTTAACAACATGAGATGATGTATTATAACGCTTGTTATATTGGTTGAGAACAAGAAATGACACATGACAATGCTTGTTATGCAGGTTAAGGAAAACATGGATTTAAAAATAAAGGACAATAACTGATAATGCTTGTTACATGGATTTGGAATGGGATAAGCTTCAATTTCAGTCATTTAGTGAAACTCAAAGAAGTTGTTCCTTTTTAGTATCTAACAAAATGTTTAGATAAATACTTCTAATCATAACAGTTTTTGCTGATAACAAAAAATGGCCCTAGAAGACAGGCAGTCAACAAACCTAACTAAACTCTCTGCTCGATAATTATTCACATCCTGTCGAAGTTTGTCCATTTCACCACGCATTACAGCAAGCTCTCGAACAATCTTTTCCTATAAAAGTATAGAAAATTAAGTAGTCATGAATCTTTTCTAAAATATTATAATTTTTATGACTACGAAAGATTAAATGCAATATTTAAACACTTTGTATATGATAATTTGGTCACATACTACTGTAGATACAAGCTATGGTGTCATGTTTGACAAGTCTAACACCTACGTATTTGATTCAAAGCAAATTTACACTCATCTGTCATATTATTGATGATACAGGAAGACTTATGGCTGGAAGGAAATAGCCAGTTTTCCCAAATATTCAAACAGAAAAGTCTTTGAACAATGCAGATCCAATGAAGAAAACTCACATGCAATGTTTTAGATGAAAACAAAAACACAGATAGCAGAACATTTAGGACAGCAACAGGTTCCAAAATACCAGACCTCAAGTTAATCCAGAGATATGTCTTCACCCATAATATGAAAGAGAAGACCTCAGACAAAAAGCCATTATGATGCATCTAGGCATATTTATTGGTAACAGGTTAATAAAAAGAAATTTGAAGCTGATGAAAGTTAATGAGCCAAAAGTTCAGAATCTTTCTGTTTCTTATTAAAGATAAAAAAAAATAATAATAATTATGATCATCAGATGTAGCACTGAGAATGGATAAAGTATTTCTAAGGATATCACATGACCTGGAATATCTTTCTTTAAAAGTGCAATTCAGCTCATTGCTAAATAATTTACTGTAAAATATTTTTAAAGATAGTTTAAATTGTTCTTAAAAAATAACATCATTAAGTATATGCCTTAATAATATATTTCTAATTAATACAACGTTTTATTCAATATTTAGAAAGTATACGCAATGACTTCCTTTGAGGTAGGCTAAAAACAGGGTCTGGGTGTTTTGGGTTTAGTTGAATGAGAAATTTGCTTCAGGGATATTAACATTACAGAAGTGACTGGGGAGAAAAAAATAATGTTACTTTTTCAGCACTGTAGAAATCAGGGGAGTTAAAAAGAAAGAATATATATAAAAACAGTTTTATAAATTTCGATATTCAATCCTGGTAAGTATTTTTTACATTTGTAAAGCATTGATATTAAAAATTTTTTTTATCATGTCTCGAAATGTTTTGGCATCTGTCGATTTTCCCTCTTCCTAAAAGCAAGAATTAATTCATTGTACTAGTCACACACTACTTTACATTAAGAACAAACACATATGGAAAGGTTGTAGTTACATGAGACAAGCTTAACCAAATTTGAATTCCAATTTTTGAGCAACATAATTTCAAATATATTAGTCTAAGCTTAAAAATTATTTAAAAATTAATTCTTATGCTCTCTTAACTGGGTAGAAACGTTCTAATTAATTTTCCTGTTGTATCTTTTTTCACTTTGACACTGCTGTTTAATCAATAGAATATGTTTTACACATGGTAATTATTACACACGTGTATGATGAAGGTTTTCAGTTTATTACTTTTTATATACAAGGCAAAACCCTTTATTTAAGGTTTTGTTTTTATGTACACCGTAAAAGTCTTACAGAAATTATAGCATACAGTTATTTAAGAAAACTTTTAAAAACATTATCTATATTGGGAATTATTTAGCAAATAAAAAAAAAGATGTGGTAAAGGGTAAATCTTTCTATTTATACTTTCAGTAGAAACAATACTCCATTAAATATTATAAAAAGGTATTGTATACACACAACTTCTATGGGGATGTAAAAAAATACCATCCAGGCTGGCAATTGTTGTGTCCAGATACGGTTTAAAGCAACATAGCAATTACTCCCAAAAAAAACTCAAGAAGTAAAATTCTACTAATGATAACTAAATGGATTTCTTTATAAAAAGCTGAGAAAAGAAAAAAAAAATCCAACCTTTTCACTAAATGTGTCATCTAGTAGCTTTCTAGTACGATCTAGTTCCTGAGAGAGACTGCTTTTCTCTTCTAATGCATTCATTCTTTCTTTCAGGTGGAGCTGGAGACGCTCATTTGATTCAGCCAGAAGTTTATCTACAGTTGCTGAAAGCCTCTGATTGTGTTCTTCATTCATTTTCTCTCTTTGCCTTGCCTAAAGCAATAACAAGTATTTGGTACTTAGAACTAAAGAAGAAACAGAAGAATTCAGTAGGTTGCATTCTGATGTAATTTCATAAATACTCAGGACATGTTTGTATATTTTTATGTTAAAAACAACTTATATATGTGTTCTTTTTAAACATACAGCTTAGATATGCAAAATTAAACAATAATCATTTAAAAAAATTAAAGTTATGTTTTTATTTCACTAGGAGATTTTGGCTCATTAGACAAACCCTTCTACAGATAAACAGCTGGTAGCATTTGTTGAAAAAAAAAAGAAAAACATATATATATATAAATAACTGTCTGAAAATTAGATAATCCAACACAACTTGCAAGCTTTTATTTCATATTAAATAAGACTTTCCCATGTATAAACCTCATTAACAAACACAGAACAAAATTATTATAAGAATATCTGTAATGTTAAAAATTACTTGATATAGACAGTTGGTTCGCAACTTGTGTAAGAACATTATTTCCTTGGAATAATTTTGAGTCATGTGAAGATTTGATGACAAAATCAAATATTGTGATAAATATGTTCTCCACTGTTTACTAACTCTATTATTCTGACACCAGAGTACTGCTGAACACACTACTTGTACTGTTAGGACAAGATAAGCTTGGTACTTTGGAAATGAGAATTAACAATAACTTACAAAAAGTAGGTATAGCTGATATATAAGAAGGTAAAAAGAGATATGTAGAATTATGCACAGACTGTTCCCCTACATTAAAATACTTTTCTTATATTTGCAAGTATATTTTTGCCCAATGAAGTCTCCAATAACAGGGTCAAAAGCCTGTAAATAAAAGTATTTTAAAGTAGAGAATAGTCCATGTATAACTCTTACACATTACTTTACGTACATTATGAGTATTAATAAACAAGGTAACAGAGTTATTCAGAATCTTAATAACAAATAAATAAATAGTAACATTAAAAATTATCATACTAAAGGAATAACAGTTTTTCAAAACTTCATAATTAAATGAATATTCAATACCTTCAAATTAGATAATACAGCAATATTGTACTAGAAAAACAAAAAGTGTTTGATATCAGAAACAGAGAATAACTTCAGAACTAAGCAAATAACACAGCTAATTACTATCTGAGAATTGTCTCATTAGAAAACACTTATCTTTATTTCAAAAGTATGTAGAGTCCTGGTTTTACCTTTGTGTTTGAAACTAAAAACAATTAGGAGATTATGAATTAATCATTTATAAAGAAAGAAAAAACAATTTTCTCCTCAGAGATGAGTCAAAATTTGTTTCCTGAAGAATTTTTTTTTTTTATCAAAAAATGTTTGTCCAATAACAAAAATACAGATATAAAAACCAAGAGATTTTTTAGCTTATGGCTGCACATAATCTTGGTTGTGAAATGAAAAACAGTATTGAAAAAAAATTAAAGGAAACATCAAATAAAAAAAAAAGGATATAAAAGACAAATACTATAAAAAAAGCTACCCTTTTAATACCCAAGTACAATCTGTACCTTGATAAAATTTGGAATTTGTGGACAAGTGAAGAAAGGCAACACAAAAAAAGTAGAATGAACAAAAACGAGTTTGGAAAAAAGCACATAAAAAATGTGATCCCATTCCCGAGACCTGCATGACAGATAACTTTTTTTCTTTTATCATACTTACCTTCATAAGCTCACTACTTTTTTCTTCAAGTTGCTGTTCTAACCTTTGTACTCTGTCTTCTATACTCATGTGTCTTTCTTGAGCCTATAGTTAAAAATAACATTTACACATAAGCAACTTTAATAATAAGTAGTTTTACAAACAATTTACTATCTGATGTGTAAAGGACAGGCCAACTCTTATTAGTTTAAACCTGGCCTCAGCAGACCTTCTCCTATCTGCAAATGAAATACATCATCAACTCTGTTTAAATTCTAAAACTACCACTAGAAACCTCACAATTATATACAGAGAATACATGCCTCATAACACTGGAAGCATCCCCCCAGTCTATTTGTTATTTTCTTTTATACAACTGTTTAACCACCTAGTGGAAGAACCTATTTTACCCCTTTATGCAGTCAGAACATTTAAATTTATACAAAATGACCTATATTTAAAACTAAAAAAAAATGTAATTGTTGGGGTTGACTTGAAAATTCCTGCTAGTTTAATTCTAGGATATGCTCTACTTATAATTTTCCATAAATTTTTCTTTACATACTGGGACTGTTTAACCAAATACATCAACAATAATGCCACTGGCCTTTTTGGCACACCAGAACTTGATATAGTAGGTGTAGTAATTCTATTTGTTTTAGTGCAAAGGTACACAATAGGCTAAACGAGCTCAGTCTATCATGTGGAAACAAATCCTAGATTTTAGCGTTTTAAGTCCGTAAAATTACCACTGACCCATTGCAGGACATTATGAAGTCAAGAGTTTAAATACTGCAAAATAGTTTCACTGTTCTCTTGATTTATATACATTAAAAGTGTCATCCATTTAATGTCTTTAGTAAAGTGGTTTGAATCATCCTACACCAACGTTCCAGAGGAGGAAACTGCAGATTTATACTGTAATACAGTTTATTCAAACAAAAACACCATAACTGGAGTAACTAAATATGTGTTTTCAAACGAATGTCACATAATGTTACTTCATTTTTAATGGAAATGTGTGTAACAGTTCTTGAAATTAACAAAAGTGTACAGCTAAGCCTTCAGAAAAGTCCTGGCATTTTTATGATAAATTTTATATGCAATGGCAAAAAAATGCCCTCATCAGGAAAAAAAGAAAACAAACTCATAATTTTTTTTTTCATTTTAATTTAATATGTGATATATAAAATATCTCTTTTTTTATATATTTTGGTCTGTTTACATGATTTTACCATGTACACATATAATGATTGAAGAAAGGTTGATAAAAAAAGTTCATAGGCAGCATTACAAGTTTAATTTCCACTTCTAAGTTCTAAAGAGTATTTTAATATTTCACATGGCCTAGTCAGGTAAACATCATCATCAAACCTTAAATCTAGAATTTCATTACATGTATATACTTTGAAAAAGTTGATGAAAAAGATTGATTGATTGAAAGTACCAATATTAAATTATATTGGTCTCATTGGTATGTTGCCTTTATAGATTTTCAGTATGCCATACATAAGACAAACATTTGAACCGATTGGTCTGATATCATGATAAACATTCTCCTGTTGTGTCCTCTTCCTTTAACTTAAGCATGCACTACTGTAGTTTGATCTCTATTGTTGTAGCTGGATTTCTATACAGTTTCTTAAAATTATTAGTGGCATGACCTACCTTGTTGACTTTGTTCATATAACCCACTTTTAATACATTTAGAACATTACTTTGTTGACTTTATAACAGCTTCATGATCTGTTTTTGTTAGTTTATGGCTTTTTCCCAAAATCATAGCTATTCAGAGTTGATAAAGCCATACTATTTATATATGTTTTAACAGTCCCAAAGCTTTTTCTCTATGTGGGCTAATCAATAAATGGTTGTTTTAAACAAATAAGTTCTTCCTACTTTCTGTTTGCTTTTTATTACAGAACAGGGTACATATTACTGATGTGCCTATATTTGTGCTCAAAAATTAAAATAGATAAATTTAAACCTGTTCCCTTTACTTTCCTAAAAAAACATGCCATTTACTCAAATACTTATGAATAGATATGATAGAATATCTTTAATAACATATAGAAGCATGGAAAAAATCATTTCTTAATTTATTTTTTTTTACAAATTAAACATTGCTTCATTAAGAATTGGCCAAAACGGTTATAGAAGTCAAAGTATGTGTAATTTTAAGAGAACAGTTCAGTTTAACAAGTATTGTAGTGTTTGAAGAACATATAGTGCTACAATGGTTGGGCTCATGTGTATTACAAATTATACATAACAATAAATTATTGGTTTATCGCATATTCAAAGTTCTTTAACATATTCAAGTTTTGAGCTATATAATTTGGGCCCAATATGTATTGTAAATCTTCGTGAGATGGGTCAGTGTGTATCAACTTTCTCAGAACATAATAAGTTTAAATATTGTATTAGTTGGTTCAACATGAAAGCCCTGCAAGACAATAAGAATTACAATGATTGGAATAATACATACCGTGAATTTGTTGCATATTAATACACACACCTCTGTAATATATGCAAATTCTGTAAGACAGTAAATACTTCATTGGATGCATTAAGATGTACTAATTTTAGGCTTAGCTAAGGTCAACATGTACTGTAGTTATTGTGAGAACAATAAGTTTAGATGTGAAGGATCAATGTGTATTACAAGTTTGCAAGGGCAGTCAGTTTTACATCTGATGGATCAAAGTCTATTACACGTTTTGCAAGAACAGTCAGTTTTATGTCTGATGGATCAACATGTATTACAAGTTTTGCAAGAACAGTCAGTTTTAAATCAGCTGTGTCAACATGTACAGTGCTTTGCAAAAGTATTCACCCCTACCAATAATGTCACATTTTGATGCAATACAAATAACGTAAAAAAAAAAATTAATGAACTTGTTTTTATTCAAAACTCTGATGATCAAACTTAATGCTGTTATGTGTGAAGGGTGATAAACGTTAGTTGATCAAACTTGACACTGTTTTGTGTGAAAGAGGTTGAATGTCAGCAAAACCTGCAAACAAGATATATAAATTGAAATTTGCTGATTGCATAAGTCTTCAACCACCTTAGTCATTACCTGGTCGAAGCACCTTTGTAAGCAATTACTGCTGTGAGTCTTTTTGGATAGGTCTCTACCAGTTTTACACAATAGGATGGTGTAATATTTGCCCATTCTTCCTGGCAAAATTGCTCCAATTCTGACAATTCAGTGGGAACTACAATCTTCAAGTCTTGCCATAAATTTTCCACTGGATTCAAGTCAAGACTTTCACTGGGCCACTCCAGGACATTCACTTTCTTCTTTTGAAACCACTCCAATGTGGGTTTGGCCTTGTGCTTCAGGTCATTGTCCTGCTGAAATGTGAATCTTTGACTCTTGGCTGACTCAAGCAGGTTTTCCTCTATGATTCGCCTGAACTTTGCCCCATCCATCTTCCCCTCAATCCTGACAGTATCCCTATAACATGATGCTGCCACCACCATGCTTGAAAGTTGGGATGGTGTTGACTATGTGATGTGCTGTGTTGGGCTTGCACCAGACGTAATGCATTGAATTTAAACCAAAAAGTTGAATTTCTGTCTTATCTAACCACAAAACCTTGTGCCACATGACTGCAGTAAAACTTACATGCTTTGTCACAAACTCCACACAAGATTTAAGATGATTCTTTTTCAGTAATGGTTTCTTTCTTGCCACTCACCCTCCCACCTCAGACACAAAACTTTGAAAATCTTTCAACGTCATTGTTGGCTTCACAGTGACATCCCTAACCAGTTTCCTGCTTGCCTGGCTGCTTTAGTTTGAAGGGGCAGCCTGATCTGGGTAGTGACTGGATGGTATGAAGAACATTCCACTTCTTAATGATGGACTTCTCCATACTCAAAAGGGAAATCAGTGACTTTGAAATTTTCTTGTAACCTTCTCCTGATCTGTGCTCCTCTACAAATTTATCCCAGACTTATTTGGAAAACTCCTGGTCTTCATGGTTGGTTTATTGTACCACTATGGGAGTTATGGCTTGAACAGATGCATTTACTATGAAGTCAAGTTAAATCACTTTTATTACACACAGACAGAAACCATTATATTGATTTTGTGACCTTTCAAACTAATCTTTTGCACCTAAACTGACTAAGGGTTGCCATATCAAAGGGGTTAAATATTGATGCAATTGAGAATATTCTAATTTTCTTTGAAAATCTAATGTACTTACATAATATCAGCATTTTTAGCTTTCTCAGTTTGGAGTAGATTGAGTAGATTCAAATATAAAATCCCACTTGAAAGTTTCATGATTGCAAGCTCAGACGATAACAAAATGTTGAAACTTTGTATACTTTTGCAAGGCACTGTATTACATGCTTTGATAGAAGTGTCAGCTTTACATCAGTTGTATCAACATGTATTACAAGTCAACTTGTGCAGCAATTTGTGAGAGACAGTAAGTAATACATTAATAGGACCAATGTTTATCACACATTTTTGGAAAATACTATTATATGGTATATTATTGGGCCAGCATATTCCCGAAAATTTCATGATAAAATAGGTACTTTTAATCTTCATGCAAAAAAGTTAAAAAGCTGAAGAAATTATGTAAAAAAAGTTTTTCATGACCAGTTTAAGGAAACATTTACTGATTCAGCTTACAGTTCATATGTACATTCTGACTGGTCCAAGATTATAATCACACTTATATCCTGATTAATCAAAATTAACAGTCATCCAGGCTGACTGTTATACCTATTATCCACATAAGCATATTGTAACATACCTGAGACAATGCTTCCATTCTCTGCTGAAGTTCAGCTTCCTTGGCTGGCAAAGCTTCGGCTTTTTTAGAAAATTGAGAAAGCTTCTGCTCAGTCAGTTCTAACCTTTCATCTAGGGCTCTAACTTTTTCTTCACTCTACAAGATTGATATTTTATCTTATTCTTTCATAACAAGGAATGCCATGTTCAAAATTATTTATAACTCACTGTATCAAACTTACATTTGGAGGTGTGATCTCTTATGTACATTTTGTATAAATGTATAAGTCAGGAAGAAATATTTCATAAGATTTGAAGCTGTATCTTAAACACTAAACAAAATATAATAATCTGAAATATTGTGACACGTACAACAATTCAACATTAAAACAATTGCAATTTACTGACAACTTTGGTGAAGTTAGTGATGACATATGTGGATCCTTATCACATTGGCTACCACAAAATAAATTAAGTATAAATAAAATTAAACTTTCAGAAGGTGCTGAGGAGCAGTCACAGTGTCCCAAACTCATATGCCACAAGAGAAATTTGGCTTTGAAACATAATTGTCTGTAACCCACTGGTGGGGCACATGGCAGCCAATGTGTTAAGAGTATTTTGGTAAGCACAAAATACATTAACTTAGATAAAGTTGTAAAATTAAACTTCTCATGATTCATTTGCACAAAAAACATTGTCTATCAATGACTGATTAATAGGAGACAAGGAAAAAAACCAACTAATCAAATAGTATGATAATGGCAGGCAAGAACTACATGTTAAATTGGTATGATGAAGAGGCTTTTGATTGTCTCTGAATGTTAAGAATATAATTTTTTATTTCTAGATTTTTAGGTCAGATGCACAAAATCTTCAACACAGTTAAATCACGGTTATTTTGTAAAGAATCAATACATAAGATACATATTAACATTGCTTCTACTTACTTTTTAGAATATTGCTTAAAATATCATTTTTAGGAAACTAAAAATTTGCTTATAAAATCCATTCATTAATTTATAGCAAAATAAAAATAAACAAAACTTACTAGTTTTAATTGTGCTTCTTTATTAATTAACTCTTGTTCTAATTTTTCATTTAAATCATGAATTGATGTCGATTCTCGTTGGGCATTGAGGTATCGTTTTTCTAAGGTTGATATCCTTTCTTCCTGATCTTCTTTTTGGGCATTATTCTAAATGTAAAAAATGATTCACTTTTCATCTGCAAACAGCATTTTATAGTTTTAAAAATATTTAAACTTTCCTTTAAAAACTGTTGGTCTATAAAAAATTTGCGAGCTTAAAAAGTTGTGTGTGTGCATGAAATGTATGTCCTTTAAAGCATATTACTAATAAACATATATAGGTACAGATGACTTTAAAACACTATATAAATATTATTTGATTTTCACATATCTTTCATTTTTAATTTTATATCTTTATTACAAATGCTGAATATATCATGTTAAAAAACAAGAAATGTATATACTGTGAAGAATATTTTATATATTTGTTTCCTGATGGTTGGATATCCTAGTATAACTTAGGGGTACAGAAGATAATATTGCTGGTGACTGGTTTTTCAGTACTGGATATAACATGACTGAACAAAGAAAGTATCAAACATATAGTGATTTAGATATGTATAGAAAACTTTTTCGAAACTCATAACATTTTCTGTGTATCTGTTTCCATATTTATAACTACATACATCCACCTATTTTTCCCCAATTACCTGAAATAAAATTTGGATGTTGACAAAGGAAGCTTTCCTAAAATTTCTTCCACAAAGTTATTATTCACAAATAATGTAATTTTTTTCAGAGTTTTGAGGGCAAAAAGTGGGGCAGACTAAAGGTAAAGAAAGAAAGATCCTTAGTTGTGAACTCAGGATATTTCTATTAAACATTCAGATACGAAACCACATATCTTAAGGTATTTTTAACCTTTGATTTCAAACTATTTCTTTGTTCATCTGAAAAAATATCAAATGCTTTACTTCTTCCCTACCTCTCGGAGGTCACGTGCTAACTTTGTGTTTTCAGTCTGCAGTTTTGCAACCTCTTTTTGTGATGAAGTCAACATTTCCTCCAGGTCTTGAATTTTAGTTCCCAGTTCTGATAGTTTTGTTCGTGCGGTTCCAAGTTCAGCATTTTGCTTATCTATTGTATCCTTAAGCTCCACCATCTTGGCTGCTTCTGCTGCTGCTTCTATTGATCCATTAGGTACCTGAAAACATGTACTGCAAATGTTAGCTCAATATATTACATTTTTGGGGAGCATTCATGGTGGTTTTAATTTGGGAATTATTGGCACATGTTACAACAGTTAAGTAGTTTGTGTTAGTAATAATACACTGTAATTTTTTTATTATACCATAGGTAACAAGTCCTTCAAAGCAAATTATATTTCTGACTTCTCATAAAATTTATATTTTCAAACTATAATAGAAAGATCATATATACATACACAAGTTTTTATTATAAATTTGATAAGACATCTAGAAGTTTAATACTGAAATTTATTTGTATACTGTGATAAAGGTTACTTGATGAAGAAAGTTTGAACTTCAAGATTAATCAGTGCATTGAGATTACATATAGCAGCCCATACATTGCTATGAATAAATTATGTATACACTAGGCATTAATACAGGCTTTTTTCAAGACCCCTTGAGGGATTCCATTCCAAATGTTAAAAATACATAAAAAATTCATAAGGTAAAACAGTAGTTTCCTCAATATACTTGAAAAATTAATTTAATCTAAACTGAATGCTTGAATTTGGTGATTTTGTGTATTTGATAATGAAAATATCTTTTTTTTTTTTCAGGAAAATTGATCTTAATTTATTAAAGAAGCTGAAGTTTTCCCAAAGTTTACAGCACTTAATTCTTCCTGATAGAAAGAAAATCAGGGTCCTGTTGTAAAATACTGTATTTATCCTTCTGATGTGTTTGTGCACACAAGAGACAGAGCTATATATGTACAGTTATATATTTTACAAGGAACTTACTATAAGACACAAAAAATTATAATCTTAAATATCTTTTACAATAGTTTTATATTTTGGAAATAGAACAACATTGTGATCAAGATGTTCAAATTATAAGTTATGGAATAGTTTAATATACTGTAAGAGTTAAAATGTAAAGGAACTCACTCATACCTTTGACTGCTGAGATATCTCACCATTTCCTGAACCTTTTTTGTCTTCTGATACTTCATTTCCTACTTTACTTCTGAGGTGCTGTAACTACAGAGTAACAAGTTTTTATCCAATGTCCTAACACACAAAAATCTAAATGACTGACAAATAAAGAATTAACGTTCATACTTTTCATTGGTATGCTAATGTTATTAATTAATCTCATCCTTTCTTACTTGCTTTTAACTGGTTGAAACACTCGACTATTAACATTACATATATATGATAGTGTATTATCCTTATATTGATGACATATAATACTTCAGACGATGAACAATGTCTAAACATTTTCCAATAATCTAAAATTGATTTTATTGAAGTTTTTATACTTTGAATGTGTAAAGTTAAACAAAAGGTTAATTCTAAAATAATAAATAAACAACACACAATGTCCAAATCGATACACAATTACAAACATCTCTGAAATGTCAACCCTACATGTTTTGATATTAACTCTTGAAGATGTGGTAAATGTCAAAACATGTAGAGTCCACATTTTATAAATTTTTTTAAACTGTGTATCGATTTTAACATTGTGTGTTGTGTATTTATTATTTTAACATTATACACAAGTGCCAAAAAATAATATCAAAGGGTTAATTCTAACAATTATTTTTATAAATTTCCCAGTGGTTGAACTAAAAAACATTATTACCCACTGAACTTACATTGAATGATACACATGTAGATGTATTTTTAAACAGATCAGTTTCCAATGATAATTTCAAGACAGTTTGTTAATAAAAAGTTCACATTATGAATATATATGTTTTTTCTCTCCTACATGTTGAACATGTACTTAATCATCAAATAATACAACTTAATAAACTGAACATACTCTGTTTAATTCCCTCTTTCAGCATTAGATATCATGTTTATTTACATGAGTCAAAATTAACTATACCTCACTGTACTTTACTAGGGACTCATAATGATAAGTATTTAAAGTTAGTTTTGTATATTACATCATAAGTACATAGTTATGAAGAGGTCTGAATTTCCTGTTTCATCCTTCATCACTTTATCTTCAATTATACAAAAACACGACTTGATTAATCTAAAGAAAACTATTACCTAAGGACATAAAAACTAAGTACTCAAGCAACTCACCTTACATGTTATAGATACTAATAATCAATCATATGAAAAAATAACAATAAAAAACTACAAATATGACAAATATAGATAAATACATCAACAAAATGCAGTACCTAAAAACAACTAGCAGAGCACCAACTAGATGTACAAAACACAAACTTAAATACTATTGGTAAAAGATGTATTTATCATTATAGATAACTTTTCAAACTTCATCTAACCAGCAATATTTAACCAATTTGTTTTTTGTACTCATTTTCATTTCTGAAGCAGTAGTATAATATATACACAAGCATTTAGTTTTGATACACAAAAACCGTTTTGGTTTGTTTTGAATTGTGTGCAAAGCTACACGAGGGCTATCTGTACTAGCCATCCCTAATTTAACAGTGAAAGATTAGAGGGAAGGCAGCTAGTCATCACCACCCACCACCAATTTTTGGGCTACTCTTTTACCAATGAATAGTGGGATTGACCATCACATTATAATGCCCCCACAGCTGAAAGGACAATCATGTTTGGTGGGATGGGGATTCAAACCCGCAACCCTCAGATTGCAAGTCAAACGCCCTAACCACTTGGCCATGCCGGGTCCAAAATACAAAGAACTAGATACCAAAGAAACTGGCAGCAGTGTGTACAAACACAGCCTGCTAGGAACACTTACTACTAAGCAGGTATATTAAGAACTAGCTAACTACATAAACAACAGTTCTGTAAATCATGTACAAATTAGCAAGGTACAAGCACAATCAGCTACAAAAACATACAATTACTTTTACAAACAACTTGCAGTTTTGATAAGTTTTTGTAGTCCTGATTACTTTACAGGTTTCCTTATTATCCTAATTAACTTTAATTCATTAAAGATGTGTGTGTATATTGATGTATAAGTACAATATCTGTGTTCAATATCTGAGACCAAGGCTTATTCAATGTGGCATCTTTTAATGTGAGCAATGATTTGTTGTCATTTAATGGAAAGGATAGGTAGTCATATCTTTTACAGTGATAGGCAAGCTGTGTTATCTTAAGTTTGAGTGATTCACTGTGGTATCCCTTAGTCAGGAGTATCACCTTCCTTGAAACTTGAGTTTAATTGTACTGCTTCTAGTTTTAATTAACACCATACAGGATGCCGCTGGAAGATACATATCAAATTATTTATGTCACAGTTATCCTGCTGCTACTCATGTATATTTCTGACTGGAATAAAAATACAACCTGCATGTCTATTAAGCAGATTTGTCAAACCCCTGAGTTTCATCCTACGTATTTTAATCTTGTGTTTTCAGGTTTTGACAAATCCCCATCTTTTTTCTCTAACTTAGCTTTCCTTTCTTCCACACCAAATTGTTTATAAGTTATCAGAGACCAATCTTACAAAAAATATCTGGTTTAAAAACCAATCAGTGGCTTCTCTATTTAAAAACATACTATAAATTATAGCTCAGGTGATAAATGAAGTTGCTTATAGCCAGTTGCTACACAAATTCAGTTATAAAGTTAATTTTATGCATGACCCTGTGTGAACAGCATACATAATGGCACCAAGCACTCCTTATTTAACTTTACATTGTTCTTGATATTATTAATTGAAATAACTTTACTGTGGTCACATGAACTGAAATGGGACTGCTACCTACATCTATCAAACACTTACTTGCTTTAGCAACAAATATGTTTGGTATGCAAACAACCTATCAGCACAAAAGGAATTATAAGTTTATATAATATCCTTTATAGTTGCATGCTTCATAAATCTACCTTCCTCTATAAAGACCATTCTACATTCATTTGTTACTTTAAGAAAAATAGAACTTCAATAAATACACCCTCTATTAATGCTATTATGCTCTTAAACAATGGTAAACAGCAGCACACACATATACCTAGTTCTAATAAATGGCAAACCATAAACCACTTTAATAGCATAGTTGATATCTAATAACATTAGGAGGTGTGTATCATTCATCAAGGATGCCACTAGGGATTTTCTATATGCTTTGTACACTCAGCAGTAAATGAATATATTTTAAACATACAGAAGATTCTAATTATACAAATAATGGTGACAAATGGTTTTGTAGTTACTCACATTTTAGATAGCAATGAGGTCTCTTATCTAAAAGGTCAGTGCTAAGAATTTCACACACCACACAAAAGAAATCTAATTTTAGACAAAAGAGGTTTCTAAGATCTGTTAAAGTCGATATTAGAGTATATTCTTGATGGAAGTTACATTTAAAACAATGTGGAAAATATATGTCTTTGGGAGTAAAATATCATCAAACTACATACCCATTTTGAAAAGTGAGTTCAAAACATAATGAAATTTTTTTTTAGTAATGATCTTTGTTAAAGAATGTTCTATTTGATGAGTTTAACTCCATATAAAATGCATATTGAATATCCCAGCATAACATATTACTGCATTTTTTTATGTACATGGAAAATGCTGAATTAACAATATTCTCACTACTACACTAATAATAAATATTGATTGATCAGCTTTATTTCAATGTAATGACAGTTGTAGTCAAATACATTTATTACAAGCACTGAAAACACACAATTTACACTTGCCAAACCTTACATGATTTTTGCTACTAAAGTATAATTACATTCACATAAAAGTGTAGTGTATTAGTTGTTCTTGTTATTTCTTAAAATAGGTCACGGATACAGTATCACTAATAAATGTGTGTAGTTATATTATATATATAAAAACAATGTTCATATTTTTCTGAATTATAAAATGTAAGATTAACATTTTACTCATAGTTCATACTATCCCATATACACACATTCACATGCATCTTTTTGCTGAATGGACAAAACTGAACTGCATTAACTTACTTCTTCGTTAGATCGAACCAGCTCCTCTTCCAAAGTAACAACTCTTTCAAGAGAAACTCGGAGCTTCTCCCGAACCTGTCAAAAATATAATGTTGTTATGTGGTTTACTAATTTATGTACAAGATACTCTGCAAAGCACACACACACACACACACACACACACTATCACTCAAGCTTAACAATCATAGTTTTTATTTTTCCACGAGTTTTAAAATATTTCAATATCCTAAGATGAAATGGTATGATGGAGATTTCTCACTGTATGTATAGATATATTGATATTTTCACTATATCAGAAATAAGACATACAAGAGATTAACTAGTCTGAAGTTTACTTAAAAATTATGACAAAATGTTGGAAGGTAGTTAAATAAGAAAACAAAATCAGATACAAGTACCTTTTATTTAATAAAATACTATAAGTGAAACAGTCTCAAGTAATTAGTGGAAGATTGTATGGATTAGAGATTGATCATTTTTGTTGCTAGTATCATATACAATTAGTTAAATTTAATTATTAATACGTTTTTTTTTTGCTATATGCTAATTACATCCTACATTTCAGCTGCTAATCTGCTAATATTTTTAGACAAGCCCTGAGAAGGACTACATGGTACAGTAGGGCCCAGGATTTGATCCTGGTTCTTTTTGTTAGAAAGGTTGGTCTGCTATCAACTGATCTGAGGTCTCCCTACTCATACTATTTGAATGTTTTCAAGAGAGATAATCCAGATTCTGCTGGCTTCTATGCTAGGATGACCAAGTTCTATCAGTTAGTTGTGTGTAGAATGATTTTTTTAATCTTTTTTCTTGCGTGTTTGGTTTACACCACTTTACTTTAGTATTATTCCATATCATTTAATGGTCTCCTCTGACATAATGGGTTATTGTGGATACATTGGTAACATAGTCTTAAATGTCTATAATACTTCTGAATTCTGACTTTTATTGGTCTATTTGTTTTTCCAATGTAAGTGATGATGTAAAAAAGTGTTTTTGCCATGCGGTTGAGTCTGTTGATGAATTGTTGTGCACTAAGTGCAAAAGTATTGTGCTGTGGTTTTTGAATACTGCTCTGACTTTAAGGTTTTTTACATACCCTCTATGATTTTAGCGAGACCTTTAACATAAGGGAATAATGATTGTGTGTGTGTACAATTTTCCTCCTGCTTATTCATGGTATTTATCTCTGTTACTTTCTTTTTTATCCATTATTAAGGAAGGTTATAGTGATGTATTTTCTTTCTTCTTTACGGCATCTTCTGTATTACAAACCAAGTTTGTTCTGGAGACTAGTCAATCTATGGTTTCCCTATTTACACTGTTGGGGTGGTTTGATTTATAGAAAAATATTCACTCATATCTGTGGTTTTCCTGGAAACTCTTAAGGTATAGGAGTTGTGTGTCTTGGTAACCATTATGTACAGGAAATGATGTTTGTTATTATATCCTATTTTTGTTGTGTGTTGTGAACTGTATTGCTGAGCATTGTCTGTCCATCAATTCTGGAATTTTGTCTCAGCATCTGGCCATGTTATTTTGGCATATCTGAACCCAAACCTTAATACTTAATTTGTATTCAACTATTTATAATAAAGTCGGGCCCTAGTTTTTTTATAGTCATTTTAGCTTTGAAATTATTATTACCCAGTGTACCTATAGACATACTAAGTTTGTTTTCTTCATACAAAATATCAGTTGCTATGGTTTCAACCAAAATTAAGATGAGAATATATGCAGAGTCCCCTAGAAACTGTGAAGCAAAATGTTGCGTTTTTTTTCTTTTTTCTTGGAGTCTCACGAAAATTTAGATACTGTTTATACAGTAAATGTAAATGCTGTTGAAAAATGTTTGTTAAAAGCTTTAACAAAAGAAGCTGATAATATCTTTTTGGGGGACCTGAAAAGTTTTATAAACGTAACAGTCGCTAACTGGTTTTTAATTATACACCGTTTAAGGTTCTTTAAGTTCACCTTTTCATCCAAAGCTTTGTGATGCTCAAAAAGTGACTTGAGGGCCTTGAGAACCTCCACTTCCGAAGAAACTCCCGCTGCGGACTGAGTTTGTCTTTTTACCACAGTCATCCTTAATGAGCGTTCATGTCGGGAGACTAAACACTCCAAGTGTTCCAACAGTAACTGTTAAAAAACATATATTAGAAAAGGCTGGGTATTCTAAATGTCCAGCTACTAACTTTAAAGGATAACATAAAAACAAACAAATCAGAATACACATTTTTATTCTAGAAACAATAAGTGTTTCAAGCAATAATTCTTACAGAAAAACAAACCAAAAACCTAACTGGATGTTTCGATTATTCTACAAGTGTTATCTCTTGAATTAAAAAGAAGGAGATGAAAGTGTAACTGTTGGAGAAGCACCAAATTTTCTAACAATCAGACGAAGAAAAAATTCAAATCTAATTTTTTTTCTCACTGTGTTTTCTTCTATGTCTTTGAAAAGCAACATCTTTAAGTATAAAACATATTTATATCTCTATATGCGCACACACTGAGACAAACACGTGAACTAACATGGACATGACTGGTGACTGACATATAAAAACGTAGAGAGGGAGCACAACTGACAAAGTAAATCTACTGACAGATACCCACACAAGTAAAAGAGTTGTTAGATGAAGTAAGTAGAAGAAAAAAAAAACACAAAAAAACAGACAGGTAGATTTACATACATGTCACAGAGGACTGCTGCTTGTTCTAAAATAATGAATGACAATAACTCAACTAATCTATTTAATTACTCTCTATATATAACGTTTTAAGATGTACCAGGTCATTAGGATTTTGTTAACTTTTAAGTCATTGCCATAAGCACGTCTTGAGTACCATATACATTTGATCTTGAAGATCAGGAAACCTCACCTGGTGGATACTCGTAATTAATCACTAGAATATGAGTAAAGTACCACATGCAGGATCTGAAAGCAACTTCTCTTAGCACATTGACTTGAAGAAAATGTAAGATACATCAATTGTTAGTTGATAATTATTACACGTAAAGAAGGAGAATGGCTTGACCATTCAGTTTACTTAACAAGATAGACACACAAAAAAAACGTGTTTTGTCGGCTTTACTGAAGACGGCAGGTCGGTGAATTAATCATATCAAAGGCTTTTTCATTAGGGCATAGAATTCTGTACAAGTAGGATCGTGATTAAAGAGAAAATCAGGAGACAAAAATAAGAGGGCCAAAAAGGACCATCACTCTTTGTAAATTAGTTTACCTATCTTGTAAATAAGAGATTTACAGCATCGGAATAATACAGCTCAACAGTTAACGGGTTTTATGAGGAGGCTTAGAGCGTTGTAACTATATATATATATTACTTTTCGATACTGTTAATTCACGGATACTAAGAATTTTGTAAGGTACTACTAAACGAAACGTTTACTTTTTCTTTACAGCTGTTTAGTGGCATTTGTTTATGTTTTGTTGTCATAACATTTAGTTGAACTTGGGTGAGTTAAACTATACGATACTGCATTTCAAGTTAATTCACAACGATTGGCATGATTTATTTATTTCACATAAGAGTGTCAAAAAAAAAATACTTGTAAGAATATTTCCTCTTTTATATGTGCATGACTTACGGTGTGTGTTAAAGTGAACAAATACCACGTTGAAAAACGAAAATTACGTCACTGATTCATCACTCTTTATCCGATTCTGACATCATCGGGTAAAGAATCGGAAGATACTGTCACTTGTGTAAACATTCTTCCAAACTACATCTTCGTATTAACCAGATTTAATAGTTCCAGTTTAGAATGCGTGAGAACACTTGTGTCACGTGATTCTCCTGCTTTTTGATGTCTAACGATTTCGAGGAAGAGGAAATACGTGTATAAAGTTGGGAGATTTAATTCTATCGTTAAGGGAACCGCATGACAGTGCGTGCTTCTAATATCTGGCTATGATTAATTTTTAAAGGAATTTTCTATTGATCTATCCCATACAGATTGGCTATCGTCAACGTAAAAAACAACAACAAAATTCAAACCTATGCTTCAACGCCTCAGCAATATAGTTTGCAGTTCCATACTCATGTGATCAAAGTTATATTCCTACAACTAGAGATAGAGAGATGTTTAATACATCACATGTAAGTTTCAAACTGGATTTTTTCCAGTGATCGTTAAAGGTTGTGCTCCTTGTTTCGGAAGGATTTAAACCTAGGTGCTTTAGACCTTAACTAAACAGTAATATCACAGCTATAATATCCAAATCGATTTCGAAACCTGAGTGTATACATCTCGCGTGAGAACTAATCTCTACAGGTCTAGAATTGAAATTGGTTCATTTTCTCTACAGGATCGAAGTGAGTTTCTTAATTAAATGTTTCGAGCGAGATTTAACCTTGTGACTCTTAAACACAAGCTAGATTTAAACTTATTTAACTATATCTTAAGTTTTAGTTGCAAATATAGAGTCTGACCAAGTTTCAAACTTCTCTGTCTGCAACTGAAGTAAAGTAATAATTAATCGTGCAAATCAAGCGAGTTTTAGACTTGTGTCTCGAGAACCGAAATAAGCAATATTGAAAATCTAAGATTCAATTGTGTTCTACATTTAGGCCTACAAAGATTTTATTTCGAAGATCTAGATATGTTCGGTTTCAATTTTGCGTATATAAAATATCGAGAGACATTTAAACTCAAGCCTCGTTTCTCCTTAAAGTTCACACACACGTCATTCTCCTCATAAATGCTGATGAGTTTGTTTTTACAATGGCAAGCGAAAGCGGGTAGGGTAGGACCGATAGATGGTCAGTAGAAGAAAAATTTTGAGAACGACTAGTTTATAACAGAAGTGTCAGTTTTTTTTTTACGACTTACTCTTGTATTGTTCCTCTCGGCTTTCAACTCTTTAATCTCTTCTTCACGTTCTAGAAGATGTTCTCTTGCTTGGTTTAATTCTTTTGTCAAGGTGGCAAACTCCTACAGAAAAACAACAATAATACACTACTAATTTGTATGATAACTAGAAATATCACAAAAACCAAGTTTTAAACATTTTTGCATTCATGTAGAAGTGTTGCAAATAATGTATTCAATTATCATTAGAACAGTGGTTCTGTTGTGCGACGTCAAAAGTACGTCTATTAACATTAATATAAGGTTTCTTTTTAGAAAGGTGAAAATTTAATGAAATAATATTTAAACTATTGTTCATCCAAAAACTACTACAGAAGGAAGGTACTTCAACTGTACATGTATTTTATAATTTACATTTAATTATAGAACTTCAAATGTTCGAATTAAAGACGAAAAACTTGAAAAGCTTAGTCTATTTTAGAGCAAAACCATATTGCGCTATCTTCTGTGTCCACCGCGGGGAATCTAACCCCGGATTTTAGCGTTGTAAGTACGTAGACTTACCGCTGTCCTACCGGGAGACTTCGAAAAGCTAAAGAAATAGCTCATGTTACGCTTTATAATTTAGCTGACTTCCAAAACTTTTCACAATCCGAAAACAACGACAACAACAAAATTATAACTTTCATTTGTCGTGTTTCTTGATAAAACTACAAAAACAGACTGTAATTTCAGAAATAAATTATTATGTCCTGTTCATTTTGAGTATTATGCATAAACAAAAGCATAAATCAAAGTTAAAGTTCATAAGTTTTTAAGGAGCACCAAGTGAACTGCTATTTGATATAAATTATTTTCACAACTATTATACGTTTTAAACTAACACATTTATCCAATTCACACCACATAATATTATGTTGACCAATGAATGGTGTGATATTATGGAAGTGCCATTACGGACCCTATATAATTACCGTTTTCAAGTTATACTTTCGAAAATATAAGTATGTAAAATATATTTTATTCAGTGAAATTGATTTTTAAATGAAGTGTACAGAAATATACAAATTCAATATCTAAGAAAGACGGAAATCTCTTATTTACTTAAAAAAAGAACATTAAGCATATTTTTGAAAGGAATATTTACTCAAATCTGAATAAACTGGGCATACTTTCTTCACGAGAGGTTAAGTATGAAGAAACAACGTTCAGTGTCTCTAGTTCTAGAACAGATCCTTCATACATAAGAAACTGGGCGAAGATTCAGCATACTTTCTTCAAGACAGATAATGTAAGAAGATAAAGCGTCCAGTGTCTCTAGTTCTAGAACAGATCCTTTATAAATAAGAAATTGGGCGAAGCTTCAGCATACTTTCTTCAAGATAGGTTATGTAAGATAAAGCGTTCAGTGTGAGAACTTTAGAGCAGATCCTTCGTGCTTATAAAAACTAAACGAATTTTCAGCATACATATTCACGACAGGTTAAGTGTGAAGAAACATCGTTTAGTGTCTTAACTTTCAAAGCAGATTTTCATGGATAAACTATTTACGACCGAATTAAAACCTATTGAAAGAATGAAACTTCAAAGAAAATCTTAGATAATACGATTAATATGAAATAATTATAAATTTATCTTAAAGAACAATTGGAATTTATTAAAATAGGTTAGATAACTAAACATTTGATCATCATTTCCTTATGACAAAACGGTGGTTTTTGTCTTGTTTTCCTGCTGTTCTGCTTCATCTGGATTTAGGTCCTTGTTTGGATTTGGGAGGGTCGGGTGTAATCTAGACCTCTTCCTCCCGCATCGTGGGTGTAACTTTACCCTCAGCATAGGTGTTGTTTTTAATTTTTCAAATGTTGAACGCGACATAAAAGAGGATATCATTAGTATTTTTTATTTTCACCGAAAGAGGGCCAAAGGGTTTGTTTTTGAATTTCGCGCAAAGCTACACGAGGGCTATCTGCGCTAGCCGTTTCTAAATTAGAAGTGAAGGCAGTTAGTTATCACCGCCCCCCGCCAACTGTTGAGGTACTCTTTTAACAACAAATTGTGGGATTGACCTTGACCCTATAACACCCCAACAGCTGAAAGGGCGAGCATGTTTGGTGGGACGGGGATTCAAACAAGCGACCCGCAGACTGCGAGTTAAGCGCTCTAACCACCTGGCCATGCCATCCCAAGAGGGTTAAAGGCTGAGCTTGGAGAGGTCACCAGTTTTAACCATTCGCACCACTATACAGTAGTGTGTTGTCTGTCAATAAGTCGGGGACCCTGCGTAAGTACACGTAGTCACAGTTATAATATCACTGTTTTCTCTCATTCTTTGTGTGTTTTGTAAGCAGACACTTATGTGTTACATGTACATTTAGTATCGTTATAATTTTACAAAAGATACAAGTTGGACAGAAATTACTTTGTTCTTGTGTTTCACAACAATTCTCGGATATCCTGGAGTATTCTAGAGATGATGATAATTGATTATGAGTTGGTTTGGATTTTCACGATCTCAACATCAAAAGTTTCGATTCGCCTTTTCCAATGTAGATATGTTACTGTTCAAAATGAAAAAGATAAATATAATGTGTTTCTCCAATAACATGAATAAGTATAAGTGTCTGGTAAACATCATAAATGATTTGTAAAAATCTCTAGCAGTGTCCTTCAGGTCTTGTTTCTTTTGTTTTGTTTGTAATTAAGCAAAAAGCTGCACAATAGGCTATCTGTGCTCTGCCCACCACGGGTATCGAAACCCGGTTTCTAGCGTTGTAAGTTCGCAGACGTACCGCTGTGCCACTGGGGGATGTTTCTTTTGACTCACAAGTGTAAAACCTATTTACTGGCTGAGTCAGCGATAGTCCAACTAAAATCGACTTTTTATACATATCTATAACTGGGTTTATTAATACCATTACCAAAGAACCCCCACTCCACACTTGTGATCGTAACCCTAATGATATTTTATTGCTTGCTACACCTATGGTTTGATGTCGATTTAATAGTTTTAATTCAGTGTATACTGACAACGCTGAATAATTGGTTACAAATAGTTGATGCACATACACAAAAAATCTTCGTACGTAATAAATATGATCATTTTGCTTTATTTATTTAATATTTTATTAAATTTTTAACCAATTAATAATCTGTTCATCAGATACGAGACTATACCGAAGTTATTTAATATTAAACAACCACGGATTTTTAAAGAATTAAAGAAAAATAGAGTTACTTTTCAAATATTTTTAGCATTGAATATTTCGTAAAACCATAATTGTGAGAATTAGGTAATGTATAACAAAATATAATGTTTGGGACATCAAGGGACCTATTGATCCATCTCTGCTATCCCCATCCTCTAAAATAAACTAAAACTATTAATAAATTAAAAAACTAAAAATCTTAAAGCCAGCCCTTATCATTCATATACTTATCAAGCTTTCACTTAAATTTATTGTCTCCACAACATCCGAAGGCAACCAATCCCAAAGGCCAACTACCTTGTTAGAAAAATAAAACTGTTTTAGCTAAAGATGACTCCTACCCTGCCAAAATTTATATTTGTGTCCTTTAATTCTACTATTCTCACTGTTAAGTATGAAAAAAAATGTTGCATCAACACTATCAATTCCCTTTACAATCTTAAAAACTTGAATCAGATCCCCTCTATATCTTCATTTTTCAACTGAAAACAATTTGAGAGATTTAAACTTCTCCTTACATGATAACCCCTCCATCCCAGGCACCATTCTAGTAACTCTTCTCTGAACCTTTTCCAACAATTCAATGTCCTTCCTAAGGTAAGGATCCCAAGACTGAACACAATATTCCAAATGTGGCCTAACCAGTGACTTGTACAATGAATATATAACCTCTTTAGACTTGTATTCAATATTTCTATAGATACAACCTAAAATCCTATTTGCCCTACCATTAGCAACAGCACACTGCTTGGATGGCTTAAGAGACTAATAAACTATTACACCAAGATCCCTTTCTTTTGTGACAATGTTAAGGTTATTCCCATCCAAATTATATTCATAATTCAAATTATAGTAACTCACATGCATTATTTTGAATTTATTTACCCAACTCACTAAATTATTTTGTAGCAGCATCCTCTTCACAGCTAGCAACATCCAATATCTTAATATCATCTGCAGATTTAACTAACTAATTGACCATACCTTCATCTATATCATTGATGTAAATCAAAAAGAGCGAAGGTCCTAAGACTGAACCCTTAGGTTCCCCACTTGTAACAATAATCCAGTTTGACGGAACTCCATTTGTAACAATCCTCTGCTTTCTTCCATCCAGCCATTCTTCTATCCAATTTGCTAACTTATCCCACACATCTATAGAGATAATGTTTCTTACACCTCTTTTATGTGGCACCTTGTCAAATGGTTTCTGAAAATCCAGATACACGAAATCTACACACTTGCCCTGATCTACATAAGAAGTAACCTTTTGAAGGAATGTCAAAAGATTTGTAAGACAAGATTTTCCCTGAGTGAAACCACGTTGACTATCCAACAAAATTCTAAACTTTGTTAAATGGCTCTTCAAAGCATCTTTTATCAGACTTTTCACACAACTGATGTAAGACTAATGGATCTATAATTACCGGAACAGTTTTTACCACCTCCCTTTTAAAGGGAGTGAGATATCGTATGGGTGAATTAATTTACTGCATAATAATTGCTTTATACCGATTCAATTACTTATACAGATACTGTAAACAACGCGGCTTTATAAAAAAAAAGTTCAGGTACTGTAACCTGTGAACTTAAGGCTCGATTATCGTGTTATACAGATTTGAGTTACTGCAAAAATTCGAGCAAGACATGACGTAGTGGTTAACGTGCCGTACTGTGTATCTTAAGGCTTAAGGTTCACGGAGCGAGAGTGCGTTAAAGGAATGATAGTCAAATCCCAATATTCAATTACAGTACTCAATAATGACAAATAATAACAAACAAACCGCATTTTATAATAAAAACAATAACAATTGTTAATTGAGCTACAGAGACAGCGGCTACATTTTCTGAAGTAATTCAGTGTCTGAAACTAATTCTTAATTAGTTTATTAACCAAATAGTTTCGGTTAAGTG